AACACACATATTTACAAAATAATAAAATGAATCAATTTAAAAATAAATAAAAACAATGTATGTGACACATTTATAGCAGCACAATTTGTAATAGCCAAATCTTAGACACAACCCAAATGCCCATCAACTGAAGAATGGATAAAAAAGATGCAGCATTTTTATACAGTGGAGTACTATTCAGCTATAAAGAAGGATCACATTGAGGCTTTTATTAGGTAAATGGATGTGACTTGAGACCATATTCATAAGTGAAATAAATCAGACCCACATGTGAGAATATCATATTGTCTCCCTAGTGTAAGAAACTGGAAGAGTGAATAAGATCCAAAACCTTCAATAAATATTGTGAAAGGGTAAGAAACTGCTCAAAGGGGAAAAGTAACTTGGATAGGGAAAGGAAGAAAAGAAAGAAGGGAAAATAAAAAGATATAAATTTATATACACACACATAAGATAGCTAAGATAATTATGCTACTAATTCTATTAGTTCTTGGAACAGAATAGTTGATAGTCATACAATTATACCAGCTTTGCATGTGTATAACTGGTAACCTAAGAAACTCTTTTGAAGACAACTATGCAAAATAACAACCACTGTTAAATTCCTGTCATCTTGTTTTGAAAGTCTATATTGTTATTATATTTTTTTTTGTTTTTGTTATTTGTTTTTCTCTTTTGCTTCTTGGTTTTCTTATCTGTGTTTTTTTCATTGTTTCCCTTCTTTAAAATAAAATAAGTAAAAACAAAAGAAGTTAAATAAAAAGCTACTAAGAAGAACTTGCAAATATGTTCAGTATCACTAATCATTAGGAAAATAAAATCAAAACAGGAAACATCATCTTACAGATATTAGGATGATTATCAAAAAATACATTAAAAAAGAAAACAGCAGAACATCAAAATTTGTGATAACAATGTAGAAAAATTTGAACCTTCGAGAATTTCTGGTGGTAAATTAAAATGTAATCATTGCCCTTCCTCGAATACTTAAATGTGGAATTAACATATAATCCAACAATTGACTTCTCTGTATATATCACAAAGAACTGCAAGAAGGAGCTACAACAGATTTTTGTACAATCGTGTCAGTAAAAACAGTATTTATATAGCCATGAAGGAAACAGCCAGTGTCTATCAGGAATATTCAAATAATCAAATAAAATGTGGTAGGTATATGTAAGGGAATATTATTTAGGTTTGACAACTAAGTAAATTTCAACACATACTAAAGAATGAATTAATTTTGAGGACATCACATTAAGAAACACAAGCTGGTTACAAAAATAGCAAATATGTAATGTCCCTTTACTAGTCAAATTTACATACAGAATGTAGTACCTGGCTTCCAGGCCTGGTTGTTTTGAATGCTTCTCTCCAAAATTCACATTGAAATTTAATTACCATTAAGAACTGTCATGTCCTGAGCTCAATACCCTTGTGAATAAGTTGGGAAATAGGTTAATTATTATGGGAATAGGTTCCTGTTAGGAGTTCAGCTAGATTTTTCTTTATTTTTTGTTTCCTTGCTCTATGATACATCCCACCCTATAATGGCACAGTCAGAAGATCCTTGATAGAAAAGTATCAGGTTCTTACACTTACTAGCGTTCTGACCTATAACAGACACATTTCAATGTTTATAAATCACCCGGTCTCAGATGTTTCATCATAGCATTGCAGAAGAGAGTAGGGCTACTGGAGAGGAGGAGAAATAGGATGTTGTTACTGATCAGTGAGTACTGAGTGATTAGGTTAGCACCTGTGCTTCTCTGGATGGCCAGTAGAGTCTACCTTGCAGCTGCATGCAAAGTTTCATGCCAGAATCCCAGCAGATGCTTGAAACTGTGGATGGGAGTCAGCTCATAATTTTCTTTTTCTTTTTAACTAAGAACTTGTCATGCACTGTGGTCATAACTCTTACAATTTGAAGTGAGATAATATAGCTAATACAAACTTCTTTTTCATTTTTCACAATAACATAAAATATGCATTCTTAGAGCAGATTCTTACAACCTCAGTGTATGAACTTTTTCTTTCTTTATTAAAAATTTTCACTTTTTCACTAAAGGTAGTAACTTTCAGGGTCTCTTTGACATATCTGAATTGCCAACATCACCATTCACACACTTCAGGCCTGTTAAGTAAAATAATAGCAAAATGTGGAGAAACTGAAAGTCCTGTGTCCTGCACCAGAGCTGTGATGTCAAATCAGTCTATTTGATGACTAAAATGGCCAAGTGGCTAATGGAGAAGCGGCACACACAGCACAGACACGCTGGCCAAACAGAGAACTGATTTCTCAGGTGCCATGGTGTATGATGGTGCGTGATTTTGTCACAGTGCTCATAATGTCAGTGCCATTTAAAATCTGTGAGTTTTAATTTCTTAACATTTTCAGACTCTGGATCACTGACTGACAGTAAGTATAATCACAGAGAGCAAAACCACAATTAAAGAGAGGGCTACCGTATCAAAGCACTTTTGACTTCCTAATGCTGCTAGAAAGCATAAATACAATGTCTATATCACATACATACCTACACTAATGTGTATTTTTGGTCTTACTGCCAGTATATCTAAATAATTATTTTATCTAACTTGAGGTATAATGTCTCAGTTATTTTAACAAACTAAGTGTTTTGATATATGGAAAAATCAAATACAGTAAATGATCATTGAATGACAGAATTGAGGAGCATTTTATGCTCTGAGTAATCTAACCTATTACTTTTATTCAATCTAAATGTCCCTGATTTATTTGAGGCAAACATTGGTGTCCTCACCTAAAAAAATTTACTCTTTCATTTTACTTATTCAAGTTCTGCTCATTTTTAGGGCTCAACTTAAACATAAAATTTTGCAAATCATTTCCTGGTTTCCACAGTTGGTATTAATTTTCCTAACCTCTAACTGCCATCTAATCATTTACTTTTATTAATAAGATTGTTTTGTATTATTGTAGTTATTTTATGTTCAAAAACAAAATAAATTGGACTAAAATTAAATATTCCAGATCAAAAGACCATCCAAATAGCACATTTATTTTCTTTAAAGTCTAGTATACCTGAGTTTGAATATGAATTTAAATCTACAATCAATTTGTATTCTTTGGTGAGTTAGTCCTAAAAACAGACTATGGAAGACTGGAGGAATTACTTGTTTCTCTCCTACCTCCAATATACACATATACAACACCAACCATATACTCAAGAACATATATCAGTGTAGGAGTAACAACTATATGAAAATAATCTCTCTAGGAACTAAACAATAACACTTTTTGAACACATAATATCTAGTACTTGGTTAAATTTTATGAATAAAGAATTCACACATCCACAGATTTATTTAGGCTGAATTCAGAGTTGGTTAAACTACTGGCTAGGGCATGCCTCTGGCCATTGTACTTGGGTTAATCCGGGAATTTTCTCTTTGAATAGATACAAAACCAGGCTGAGGAAAAAATATGGGTGGAGATGGAAGGCAGTTGTCTTCTTGCAGGACAAAAACATGTATTTGCAACAAACCAAAGAAAACTGAGTTCACTCTCTGTAGTTAAAACTACATATTACTTAAGTTCAAATTCTTTCTGTGAGTACATAAGATTTATTGAAATTATATTGTCTGAGTAGGATCAAGACAGCTGAATATTATTTCAGGTTTTCAAGCCATAAGAAAAAATAGTGCCTTTAGGTTTTCCACTAGACTTGGAAAATTATAGCTTCATATTTGCAACACTAAAGCTAATGCAGTGTCAGCACCTCCATCAAACTCCGTTGTTCAGCAGTTTATAATTTAAGCACAAATGTTCACTCCAAGCCCAACTTGGCCTACATAATCTCAAAGAAAATGGAGAAAAAATTAGGTTGGCTGGCTCTGACTTATAAAAGCAAAAGAGAGAGTGCTTTTACAATGTGCTTTGAAAACATCTTTGAGAATTTGAGAATGTAACCGAGGATTACTGGGTTGACATCCTTCATTCTAAAGTTATAGAAATGATCCAATATTCCATGTCACATTAATATCAGTAGTGTCGTAATTATGCTCATGAAATTTGTTAGGATCTATTTCTGTATCAGAGAAAATTATATCCACAGAGAAAAGAGAATTATAGTGGAAAATAAGAATAAAAAGGTAATTTTCTCATGAGTGTGATACAAGACTTCCATTTTTTCTTTAAGTACAGATATGCTAGTCTACCATACGCACATATATAAAATGAAAAATATTTCCCATTTTTAAAAGTAGTTTGCAATGGCATGCTGTAATTTCCTCTTCCTAAAGGCCTACCTAACATAGAAACGGCTTAGTATGGAAGCAGCTGCAGCTAATAGGACCTATTGTGTCCTGCACTTGCTAAGTGTGGCCAGAAACTAAGTTCCAAGATTCCTGTCTTTGAAGTCTCTTTTAAGCGCACTGTGCAGAGCATTTGTGGCAACTCTGTTGAAGACAGCCAGCCCTTCTTTGCTCTGGTCCCCTACAACTTCAAAATATATTCAAAGGTTGATAAAGAACTATCAGGACATTTTATAAGAAAGATATCCTTTCCTATCTGTAGAAGACTCATTTTATAGGCTTTTGTCTTACCCTTTCCTATTTTTTATCCAGCGTCTATTGAAGTTTTACTGGGGCCAGGCCACAGAAGACAAGGTCGTTAAGGGGAAGCACAAAGTTCATAAGAACAACTTGAATACAACTGGAGTGCCCTCTGGACTTTACGGAACCTCCTCTAACCCATCGGGTACTGGTGACCCTTCCTTTAAGATGCCCTGATTCGCTGGTAGATACTCACTTCCTACTTTTAACGAACATTCATTTATCAAGCACTCTTGCTCAGGGGACCATAGATCATTTTGTGAACCAAAACAACGTGGGAAAGCGGTACAAAGTAGGCTGAGTTTTCCCTGAGAGGCTGACAGTGAGTAGCGTCTGTTTGCGGGGAGCTCTGACTGGGGTTGTGGCCTTGCCCGGGCAGAGGATTTAGGAGGCTGCTGGCTCACCTGATTGAAGTGTGCAGCTATTAGCGAAGGTTCCCATATCTTAGAACTGCTGTTCGCAACCAAGTTTTTCTCTTTCTTGGGTGCCATTCAAATGCCTGGCGCACTGGTCTAGAAATTGGGCTAAAGCCCTGCCTAAGCGTCCTTGCTGCATAGCAACCGAGGCCACGCCCTGTTCTGTAACAGATTTGGCCCCTCCCCCAACCCCTCCAGCCTCTCTAGTCAACCGCTTCCGTTGCATAGCAACCGAGTTTCCCCGAGCTGCCCAGTGAGGGCAGAGCTCAGACTTCAGGCAAAGGAGGTTTCTCTCCAGGCAAAGTGCATGTTGGAGAACGGTGAGGGGAAAGCTAGCATCTAGCTGGGCAAAGTGTTTCTTTTACCCACTTGGACCCTCCGTTTTGTTTTGCTTCGGGATGTTTACTGGAAACTCAGGATGCTTGAGATGCTGTTTAGGATGCCTCCACCAAGGTCTCTTCTGGTCTTGCATAATCTACAATGAAGTCCTGATCCCACACTCCCACCCCGGGAGGGCCCATGCTCTTTTCCTACCGTTCTAATCTGCCCCCAATGCTTCCTGATACAAAGCCAAATTTGTCTCCTCTGCTGTGGACTTATTCTTCCTTCTAGGGCCTCACTAAGCAAATACTGTCACTCTTCAACCTCTTTTTTGTTTGTTTGTTCGTTTTGTTTTTAAATCTAGTGTGGGTGGGGTTATGTAGGTTTCTCTACTTTTAACAACTCTTATGTAGTTCCTCTAAACTGTCTTCCACTGGCAAACAGTCTTTTTCTCCTCCCTCCCCCATCAATATTTAAAATAATCCTGGTTAGGCAGATTTCCCAGAATAGTAGTAAAGATAATAATAACAGCTAGATCCTTGAGCACATGTTACGTATGTCAACATAAATGAGAAATTCTATAAAAAATTACAAAGATAGGATATTTATTTGGGAATAGCAGAGCCACGGGAAAGGAATGGCACAGCCTAACAATGAGAATAGCATGTAAGAGTGAGTGATAATCAGTTTCAAAGAGTTTGAGGCTAGGGAAGTTTTAAAGACAAAAATTAGGAGGATTACATCAGATATTTTGAAACAGTAATCTTTGGCCACAGTGATTAATAATGAGTGACACCAGTTTGAGGTTGGATACACAGTTGTTGAGCAAATGTTCTTATAGAAGTACTTCTTTTAAAAAAATAAGATTACAGTGGTCTCTGTACACACAGGGGCGGCCCTGGGAGAATCTTTTGTGATAGCTACTATCAGACAATTATGTATAAGAACCCTTCCTTCAACATGGCTGGCTTTATTTACTTTTGTTACTTGGATTGATACAAGTGACTCCATTTTGATTCTGGCAATTTTTATATTTTTTCACACTTGTTAGATGTGGTTTTTTTTGTTTTTGTTTTTTTTGTCTTTTTCCTTTTTATCGGTACCGGGGATCGAATTCACGACTGCCTGCTTACAAAGCAGGCGCTTATGCTGCTGAGCTAAATCCCCAGCCCCCTAGATGTAGTTATTTTAATTTGATTTTCACAGTAACTTTATCCCAAGCCCCATATTGCATGACTGGCAGTTCAAGGATTAAAATTCAGTATTATCTGAATTCCAAATCTAGGGTGTTTTAATCTCTTCATTACCACTATTTTAGGTCTGCCAAAATCAGAGATACCCCTTTGGAGACAGATTTACTTTAAATTTTTTTTTTTTTAAATTTCAATGAGATACATTTGAAGACACCCACAGGCAGAGCTCAACCAAAGATCTTTTTAGTCTATATATGTGCAGTATTGAGCAATGCTCAGCTGACCCCTATAACCTGCTCTGTGTTTGGAGGTGAGATGCTTCTGTTAAGCTAGTGAGCTAGGGATGACTGAGGTGATCTTGTTACCTGCAGCCTAACTTTAATCAACACCTGCTGGTGGGTGATCTTCCATAGAACAGGTGTTCTGATTATTTCTTCATTCAATTGTGAGGAACAAGGGTGACTCATCTTGAATGTTCTCCAAAGGCCTATATTTTGAAGATGTGGCCCCAAGTTTACATTGACACTGGGAATTGATGGAGTTTAGTGGAAAGAAGTTGGGTCACTGTGGATGTGTACCTGAAAGAGATGTGAGCACTGGCCTCTTCCACCTTCTCTTTTTGCTTCCCATCTGCCATGAGGTGAACAGTTTTGCTCTCCCATAAACTTCCTGTTACTTTGTAGTTACTGCCTTGCCAAAGACCCAAAACCAATGACACCAAATGTTTCTTAACTGAAACTCGCAACACGGGAGCCCAGGTAATCCTTTCCTCTTTATCGTTTAATTATCTCAGGGATCTTATCAGACTGATATCTTCCTATTTGGGTCAGTTCTAATGATCAGATTTATTTTCAACTCTTGTTCTTAGTTTGAATCAATGGAAGGATGTTTTTCCTACCACTGAAATTCTTTAAATATAGATAGTGAGGAAAAGTATAATTTATAGATATTGATTTCATGCACACACACACATAACACAGAGATCTCAAAAATATGGTTTTCCATTTTAGTTGCAATATGCACTCCTCAACTTTTGGGACAAAATATGTCCATGCAGTCTAAGCCACAGTTCACACTTGGAAGCCTTCTCTCGTAACAATAATATAAGGACTGATGCATGGCGATGTTCAAAGAAACTACCAGAAAACAGCTTTCCTGAAGGTCTCCACAGCCATCACCGAGGCTCAATCGATCCGTATTCATACTATTCTTTTACTAAAGTTTTCTTAGCATTGTATGGTTAAAGTTGTCTCTCATGGCTTAAATTAGTGACTCTTACAGATTAAAATAATCATCTCAGTATCACTGATTATATCATTCAAAATTTTGTTCATGATTATCTCAAAGTTTTAAATTGTTTGGACAGAAAGCTTTGTATTTTTATTAGAAAAGTACTTAAAACTTGTGTTTCATAAAAAAGTTTCACTAGATGTTTATGCATGGTTACTAATTTTTTTCTTCTTGAATGTGATGCACGTTTCAAAATAAAACTTATTGCATATAGTATGTGCAGTCCAATCCAAAGGAAGATGATTGATAAAATAGACAATAAAATAGATTGGAGAAAACAGAAAGAGACAAGAAAAAATGGAATAGAGAGACACATATAAAATTAAATGTTATTTTAAAATGCACAGAAAGTATCACTAGCTACTTTTTACAAGTGACAGTCTTACCAGATTAAATTTAAATATAGAAGGTTTTCCAAAATTGATTTAAGGAATATAAAATAAAGATTTTATGGCAGAATACCTTTTTCCCAGTTTGGGCTTTTTATGTTATTTTAAGTAAAGTGGTACTTTAAATAATTTATGATATAAAACAAGAAGACATTATATAGTAACCAAATTTATAGGGAGTTTCATCATAGAATTGGTCTGTTTAATTTCAGAAAATAGGTGTGAATGACAATGTTCATAGTTTTAAGAAGTAAAAGCCATTCAGCTAGAAAGAGACCCTGCCAAGAGCAGAAAAAAAGCATTACCATCTGTCATACATTTATACTTTTTTGGTGTAATAAATTGTTTCCCTCACTAAATGTAAGTTGAAATTTTATAAGCATATACTTTACTACATAAATTTTCTCATATGCCAATGACTAAAACTAAACTATACTATTTGAAGAATTTTCTTTCACATTGGCAAAGTTACTCCTGGTTTGCCATTTAGTACTGCCAGTAAGTTTTTGTACTTAATGTGTTTCATTCAAGGACTGACCACTTGAGCGATGAAGTGTTCTTTAGGATACTATGACTACTGAGTAAATTATTTCTTCAAGTGTTATAATTTGATCTTACTGTATGAGGTCAACTACACCCCTGAAAATGGTCTGGCCAGCTCTCTGTGCATCCAATATTTCTGTTGTCATCAGATAACATCAGGAGCCACAGATTCATTCACTCCTGAGCTAGAATTTCAAGTATTCAAAAAATATTTGTCTGCCTTAGTCAATATTTGCCTTTGATTAAGAAGCCTTCACAGATATCTACTCCATGTTTCATTTTGTATCTAAGAACTCTTCTCACTATATATGTCTTGTTCACACCATGATCTTTGTTTTTCTAAATTTCAAAGTATAGTATGATACAGTGCCCTTCGGTCTTCACTGTGTGTAATGGAGAAGGCTGTGTCTCTGTCAGCTATGAGGTCAAAAACATATGGACAATATTACACCTACATTCAATAGTCAGCAGTAGCTTCTTGTTCAGCCTTGAGTGCAATTTAAAATATTGACTTTAATCTTTAAAGCCTCTCATTATTTGAAAGCTAGTTACTCCAGATACCGTATCTCTTCCCTATGCATCATTGTGGCAATTAAAGTCAGCTGCAGTGCTGGCAGATCATAATTCCGTATGAGCTGTGGGGAGCAGAGAGTCAGTCACTTTCTAAAGACTACTCCAGAGGAACCAGTGTCAGCCATAAAAGCAACACTTGGAGTTACAGTTTTGGCTTTAGTGTCTTGTGTATCTGTAGGTCTCCAAAACAATAAAGTGATGTTCAGTTAATTTTTATGTTATTTGTAGCAAGAGAATTTAAAATATCAAGTCTATTCTTAATGGATCATGAAAGTGAGAGTTGCAAATATTAAAAATAGAAAAATATAATATTCATCTGTTTCATATTTGATCATTAGTGTGGGATTTTTCACTCTCGTGTTCTCTCAAGTTTTTCTTTAAATGTAATTTCAAATATCTTCAGGAAAAGTATTTGATCTTAATCCTTTGGGGACATTTTAAAATCCATACTTCATGGTAAGTTATTTCTCTTAATTCTTAGCTATATGTTTGATTTCTTAATGTTTTATCCAATGCCTTTTACTTATTTTTGCTATGCTAAGTAACAAGTTTTTTTGTAAAGTTCAAAAGCTATGATTAAGGTGAGCGAACATCTCTCTAACAAATTAAACTAGTGCGTACTATGCTAGATCATAGAAAGGTCCCCGAGGAAGGAAAAGTAATTGGTAATGGCACTTAGATGAACAGATGACACTAGATATGATGACGAGTATCTGCTGCTTTTCGTTCCAATTGCTCTTTTTTTCCTTCACAGCTTGACCCACAGACCTTCTCAAAAATGCAGGGTACTCATGGTAATGTTTCCAAAGACTTCCATAGACATTTGATCTAGGATCTTGT